TTTAAAAAATTAATAAAATTTTTAAAACCATTATACACACATATGTACCTATAAATGAAAGCTTTATATATTTAGATATAGTCACGTATGCACGTGTGGCTATATGTCTAATGTGCAGTGTATGTCTACAGCAGCAGGGAAACACAAAAAGCACAGAAACTAAGGGAGCTCTGGTGGCCTAGTGGCAAGAAGCAGCATTGCAATCCCAGAGCGCACTGTTCAAATCCACTAGATGCTCTGCTGGAGAAGGAGGGACAATCTCCTTCTGTACCAGTCAGATCCTATTTGATGATACACACACACACACACACACACACAAAATAATACTTTTAAAAAAAAAATCACGGAAACTGAAAAGTGAGTCTATACAACAATTAACCACAGAGATGAAAAGAGCAGCATTTTCCCAGGGACAGAGCTCAGAAAGCAGAAAGGGGTAAGAAAGTATAAACAGGAACTGGGGAGGGCACTGTGACAATGTGAGGATTGTCATCAACGTTGCACAACACATGGACTGCTGAATGGAAAATGAATATGCTTGGTAAATTTTTACTCAACTCACAATAAAAGTTGAATATAAGAAAGAAATTGGGCTGTCCAGCTCATTGTTTCACCTAAGTTCACCTAAGTCACTTAAGCTCCATGAACTAAAATGCCAAGCAATTTTCCCAATGTCTATGTATGTGTGTGTGCACGTGTGTACCCAAAGGCATTATTCTATGTAAATCGACACACACACTGATTTTGTTTCTCTAAAGAGCTCAGACTAAGAAGATCCCTTCATATGTGTCCTTTTCCATGGAATTAGAAGGCCCCCAGGCTGTGTGGACATCCTGGCAAGATGGCTGGAGAAAAGAGAGCAGGTGGGTGGAGGCTGGGGCAAGGGCCAAATGACTGAGGCTCCACAGAGCTCCTTATGGGACACTCTATCCAGGAGGGTTGGCAAGACCTAGTCCAGTGCTGGCGCTCAGTCCCCTCCCTCTGCTGCTGCCACATGTCAGGCTCCTGCTTGTCATCAGAGGGGTAAGGGGAGAGAGCACAGAGCCCTGTTTACAGAGCAATGAACCCCCTGAAGTTTGGACTTTCTAAGGAGAGACATTAAAGGCTGAGCTTGACGTAG